AATAATGGTGGAGCAACGTCGGCTTCTAATGATCCATGTATAGGTTCGTAGGGACAGCACTGAGTGGCGAACCCATTAGGGTAGTCCAAAGTCTGGCAGAAGAGGTGATTTTCAAAAGAGAAATACACGAAAGCCAAACACATAGTTTCAACCCATGTCGATGAAGTCGCTGGCTGGAATGGGAAGATAAGCGAAGAGAAGCGACCAATTTTCTACATGGGCTTTCCAGAGATACGATGGCGGTTTTTTTAGTAGGTACTTTAGTGAATAGGAACACGTCAAGCGGAAATTTTCTTGTTCCTGATGTTGATGTTGCGATGCGATTGAGAAATCACCTGAGTGTTTGAGATGTGCTGGACTTGATTAGTGCCCCAGCGTTTCGAGAGGTGTTTGGCGAGAATACCTGAGAGCCTTGTGGGGAGTCACCTGCCTATTCCCGAGGAAATGGGCTGATCAGTGGATATCCAGGCTGTGAGTCTTTGGCAGGCCGTACATTCTGCAGGTCTGGTTGCTGGCATGGTGTGCAGAAGTTTTCTTCCCTTGTTCTAGCTCCCTCAGGAAGGCGGCGAGTCCTTTGAAGAAAAGTTTAGTAAGGTTGTCCACATTGGTTCGTTGTGAGAAGGTTGTAGGTATCTGGATCATTAAGTTAGATTGAGCTTTTGTTCCTGTAATCGTCAGTTGTGTCATGATAACCACACCACCATCCTTTAATCAGCGGTGGTGGACCCTGATTCGTGTCTTCGCTAACCATGAAGTGCAATTGGAATGTAACGTCGGGTATGACTGGGGAGGCTCGTGTTGAGGATGGCTGCTGAGATGATGCCTTGAAGATATGCCTTTTTTTGGAAGACGGAGTCATTGTGTCTGTAGTTTTTTTGGCGATGACTGAGGTCATGTTTTGGTTTTCGTAATTCCTGTGCGAATTTGAGGCCTAGAGCTGAGGGTTCAGTTCTGTGGTGAACAGTGACGAGATGACAGGATTTTGAATCATTTCGAGTCTTCCTAAACTTTTTTTACCAATACTATTATTCGCAAGTGGGTTTGTAGTTTCCTATAAGTCTGATCTTCTGATGAACATTCGCTGTGGTAACCTGTCTGCTGGCGAATGATTTTTGGCGGTGCGTCAGTTCATGTTTGTCCTCGAGTGTTGTGCTAGTGTTCTGGCTTGGGAAAAAAGCTTCCTTTGTACATTGTTTTAAGAGTCATCTGGGCACGATTACAGGAACAAAATGCTCAATCTTCTTAAAAATTTTTTTGAAAATCCCCAGATACCTACAAACCTCTCACAACAAACCAAGTGACAACCTTACTAATTACTTTTCTTCAAAGGACTCGGCCGCTTATGAGGAACTCAGAACAAAGGGCAGAAAACTTTCTGCACACCATGCCCAGCACAACAGACCCAGACCTGCAGAATGTACGGCCGCCAAAGACTCACAAGCCTGTATCCCCACTGAGCCCTATCCTCGTGAATAGGGCAGTGCTCCCCACAAGCTCTCAGGAATTCTCGCCAAACACCTCTCGAAACTCTTGGGCACTATCAGTCCAGCACATCTCCAAACACTCAGGTGATCACTCAATCGCTATTCCATTCGCAACATCAACATCAGGAACCAAGAAACTTTTCCAGCCTTGGACGTGAACTTCGCCTATTCTCTAACGTACCCTACTAAATAAGCCATCGATCTCTGCGCAAGAAAAATTGACGATTCACTTGATCGTCCCATCCCAAGCAGCGACTTCAATCGACCTGGTTGAATACGATGTGTTGCTTTACGTGTTTCTATCTCTTTTGGAAAATCACCTCTTTCAGCAACTTTTGGACTACACCCATGGGTTCGCCACTCATGCAGGTCCCTAGCGAACCCTATATCATAGGAACACTAGAAGCCGAACGTTTTCCTCCACCATTATCCTTCGTCTGTCACCTGGCTCCGTTATGTTGAACGACATTCTCCTCATAACTCCTAAACGCTTCAACGTTCAAGCTCCCAAAGACAAGCTCAACAGGTCGAGCCTTCAATCCAGTTCCACTTGAAGAAGAGGTCGACAACACTCTTCCCTTTCCTTGATGTTCTACTCTGCAAAGCTGACCACGAACTTCTGTTTTAAAGTCTAACGAAAACCCACCAACCAAAACGACTTCCTCCACATCTACCCACCACGACACCAAAACCAAACGTGGTGTAATTATAGGCTTCTTCCCTGCGTGCACTCCGAATCTGCACAACGAGTTCCTTGAGAAAGACTGCACTATAATTGAACAGGGTATTATCCAAACTCCACTATCCTCGTCACTTGGTTCATCAGGAGACTGCAGAACGGCGAGCACTAAAACATCTTCAACACTCCCAGAGAAACACTGCCGAGAAGAGATAACATAGTCCTTCCCCACCAACTCCATTGCCAAACATGTTTCCAACATCTTTGCCAAAACATCATTCCAATATCTACCTCAACACAACCACACCATCAAGGACATAACAGTAGTAGGCAGACAAGCCTCATCCTCTGCAGGGATACAGGGCGGGAAGTCCCTGTGTATGTTGGAGGGGTTTTATGACTGCAACAAGTTATAAGTGGGCCGAAACATCCAGGACCGCCAACACGTATTTCAGAACACCAATACGCAAGGCAGAATCTGACGAACACAAGGAATGCCAGCGTACAACACCGTAATTCACACAACCACTTGATAAACTACAGAAACTCGAAGACATAACGCCACAGAAACAACACTCAATACCGAAGAATCTGGAACATCACTTATTTCTATATCCGACAACTTCAACCAAATAGTGGCTTCTATAACAGTTAGCAGAACCACATTGCCAAGAAAACGTTTCAGCCTATCCCACTAAGAACACTGTAGAAGGTCTGAATACATTATCTCACAAACTGTCCAGTCTCCTTTCCCAAGCTACCCAAGTTTTAATCTCTACAACCCAACTCGGTACATCAATCAGATGCAGCATTCTTCACCTGACCTCAGCCGGACTATAAATATTCGCGTTCCTTCCACCCCAGGTAGTTTCTTTTGTGACTGAACAAGCCCACCTGTGTGGGCGGAAACGTAAGCAATAAAGGATCACATTATACTGGCATTTGGGTTTATATTGCCATTGTGTCCGGTATTTTATACCATTTATTCCAGCTTCTTTCAGTCGAATACTGAAAGTAGGCAGGAACAGTAAAAGAGAATGTTGAAGACGATGTAATCAGTCCATCACCCAAGTCGTAGAATTTGAGGTTGTCAGTCCCTCGGCCCTGGAGAAGTATCAGTTCCTAGTCCAGAACTAATCTGAAGATCCAAGCGACAGTGCGGAGACTTAAATACTGTCGGAAGGAGGAGGTGCAGGGTAGTAGTAGTAGTAGTTAGTAGTATGTAGTAGTAAGTAGTAGTAGTATAGAATAGTAGTGAGAGCAACGAGAGGTCATGTCCCCATCATCCAGATCCCACAAAACCCTTCTCCGTGAAAAAGGTTGTCAGTCCCTCGGCCTGAACTTCTCCAGGCCGAGGGACTGACAACCTCAAATTCTACGACTTTAAGGGTGATGGACTGATTACATCGCCTTCACATCTCTACGTACCTGCCTACTTTCAGTATTCGACTGAAGAAGCCGACGTGTGGCGAAACGTTTGCGGATAAAGTTGTCTAAAACTGTTCATATGAGTCTTTACCTAACAACCTGTCGGTATTGTATACCATTTTGATGTTCTTCATGTTCTTATGTTCTTTGCTGGAAGGAAGGTTCAGGATCTACTGTCTCATGTAAACCCGCAGTGGAATGTTTAATAATATCCGCATCGTCTTACTCAAGGCTTCCATTAATTGTCCAAATTATATTTTGATGATTATTAAAATTTTCCACACAGTTCAAGAGGTCAGATTCCGTTTCCTGATGTAGGAAAACCCAACTTGTGTGATGGTATATTACAGTGAAATATAGCTAGCCTTTGTTCCCACTACCTAACTGCCTTTGCTCCCACTGCCTAACTGCCTTTGCTCCCACTGCCTAACTGCCTTTGTTCCCACTGCCTAACTGCCTTTGTTCCCACTGCCTAACTGCCTTTGCTCCCACTGCCTAACTGCCTTTGTTCCCACTGTCTAACTGCCTTTGCTCCCACTGCCTAACTGCCTTTGTTCCCACTAACTGCCTTTGTTCCCACTGCCTAACTGCCTTTGTTCCACTGCCTAACTGCTTTTGTTCCACTGCCTAACTGCCTTTGCTCCCACTGCCTAACTGCCTTTGCTCCCACTGCCTAACTGCCTTTGTTCCCACTGCCTAACTGCCTTTGTTCCCACTGCCTAACTGCTTTTGTTCCCACGGGCCTAACTGCCTTTGCTCCCACTGCCTAACTGCCTTTGCTCCCACTGCCTAACTGCCTTTGCTCCCACTGCCTAACTGCCTTTGTTCCCACTGCCTAACTACCTTTGTTCCCAATGCCTAACTGCCTTTGTTCCCACTGCCTAACTGCTTTTGTTCCCACTGCCTAACTGCCTTTGCTCCCACTGCCTAACTGCCTTTGCTCCCACTGCTTAACTGCCTTTGCTCCCACTGCCTAACTGCCTTTGCTCCCACTGCCTAACTGCCTTTACTCCCACTGCCTAACTGCCTTTGCTCCCACTGCCTAACTGCCTTTGCTCCCACTGCCTAACTGCCTTTGCTCCCACTGCCTAACTGCCTTTGTTCCCACTGCCTAACTGCCTTTGCTCCCACTGCCTAACTGCCTTTGTTCCCACTGCCTAACTGCCTTTGCTCCCACTGCCTAACTGCCTTTGCTCCCACTACCTAACTGCCATATTATTATAATCAAAACTAAGCGCTAAACCCAACAGGGTCATACAGCGCTGCAACCGTAACTGTCAGAAGACCGACAGATTAGATTTCTTATAACTATAAATAGCATAAATAAAAGAAAATAAGGCTTACAATATTACAGATATCCAAATGTAACTTTATTTCTCCTTTCATCTGACTCCGCATGCCGATTAAAGCTGTGAAACCAACTTATATAGGTGCAGACGAAACTATATATCACGAGATGATTCAACTAGTGTTGTTGAGGACGATGATCCAGCTGCTGCTGTTGTGTTGTTGCTGCTGCTGTGTTTCTGGTGAGTAACTCTCTTATTCTGTTATGTTTATCTCTACATATGCGTGTGTGGACATTTATTTTAACTGACTTATTTTACACTGAATATCTATGAATACGATTACGATTACATTCTTGTGGACATTTAATTTCAACTGACTCATCCTACATGGTGTACCTGTAAATACAACTGCCTGTATATGTCTAATGTGTCTGCAACTGTGTAAAGGCTACTGCAAGTCATCTTGCCTGTACATGTCCAGTCATGGAGGCAGTAACTGTGTTGTGATGGTACAGGTGCGGTTCCGTGCACGGGCACGGACGAGATCCTCTGTGCCCACCACGACAAGTGCATCAAACTACGATTCGTGTGTGACAAAGACCGAGACTGTAGCGACCACTCCGACGAGGATCAAGACCTTTGCGCGGTAAGTACTTCCATAGTGTCTACCACTTCTTCAGCTTGGAGTATAAGCAGGCAGCCTGTCCAACGATTAACAGACGGAGAGTCGAAGCTCCGCTTCTCTTACGCTGTATTACCACATGGATTTACGGCTACATTATCTCCCGGTGTGATGCACCAGCACCTGTGTACTGGTGCACAATGCACTTGAAACAATACATGTGTAAGCATGAGTGCCTTAGTGTTTAGCAGTAATTACGGACTGTCACACTAAAAACTTTAACGGGTGTGGATGGATACATCGTCTCAAGTACTTCTGCTTCTATCAAACTTTTCGAACTTGACTGAAGAGCTACTGTGTAGCGAAACGTTCATAAAAAAGATACCTAACTGTGCATATGTGTTTACCTAAAACAGTAATACTTGTGTTTATTAATCTACGGATTTTATCATTACTGTCATTTGAATATCACACACACACACACACACACACACACACACACACACACACACACACACACACACACACACACACACACACACACACACACACACACTCATGCACACACACACACACATACACACATCTCCCCGTGGGTCCTTAGAGAGGGAGCAGATATGTTGTGCGTGCCACTTACCACAATCTTCAACACGTCCCTGGAAACTGGGCAACTACCTGAGGTATGGAAGACGGCAAATGTAGTTCCCATTTTTAAAAAAGAAGACAGAAAAGAGGCACTAAACTATAGACCTGTGTCATTGACGTGTATAGTATGCAAAATTATGGAGAAGATTATCAGGAGGAGAGTGGTGGAGCACCTGGAACGGAACAAGAGTATAAATGCCAACCAGCACGGATTCACGGAAGGCAAATCTTGTGTCACAAACCTTCTGGAGTTTTATGATAAAATAACAGAAGTAAGACACGAGAGAGAGGGGTGGGTTGATTGCATCTTCTTGGACTGCAAGAAGGCCTTTGACACAGTTCCTCACAAGAGATTAGTGCAGAAGCTAGAGCATCAGGCACATATAACAGGAAGGGCACTGCAATGGATCAGAGAATACCTGACAGGGAGGCAACAACGAGTCATGGTACGTAATGATGTATCACAGTGGGCACCTGTGACGAGCGGGGGTCCCACAGGGGTCGGTCTAGGACCAGTGCTATTTTTGGTATATGTGAACGACATGATGGAAGGGTTAGACTCAGAAGTGTCCTTGTTTGCAGATGATGTGAAGTTAATGAGGAGAATTAAATCTGATGAGGACCAGGCAGGACTTCAAGAGACTGGACAGACTGGACACCTGGTCCAGCAAATGCTTCTCGAATTTAATCCTGCCAAATGCAAAGTCATGAAGATAGGGAAGGGCACAGAAGACCACAGACAGAGTATAGGCTAGGTGGGCAAAGACTGCAAGCCTCACTCAAGGAGAAAGATCTTTGGGGTGAGTATAACACCGAGCATGTCTCGGAAGCACACATCAATCAGATAACTGCTGCATGCATATGGGCGCCTGGCAAACCTGAGAACAGCATTCCGATACCTTAGTAAGGAATCATTCAGACACTGTACACCGTGTAATGTCAGGCCCATACTGGAGTATGCAGCACCTATTTGGAACCGCACTTGATAAAGCACGTCAAGAAACTAGGAAAGTACAAAGGTTTGCGACAAGGTTAGTTCCAGAGCTAAGGGAATGTCCTATGAAGAAAGATTAAGGGGAAATCGGCCTGACGACACTGGAGGACAGGAGGGTCAGGGGAGACATGATAACGACATATAAAATACTGCGTGGAATAGACAAGGTGGACAAAGACAGGATGTTCCAGGGAAGGGGACACATAAACAAGAGGCCACAATTGGAAGTTGAAGACACAAATGAGTCAGAGAGATAGTAGGAAGTATTTCTTCAGTCATAGAGGTTGCAAGGCAGTGGAAATAGCCTAGAAAATGACGTAGTGGAGGCAGGAACCATACACAGTTTTAAGACGAGGTTTGATAAAGTCATGGAGCGGGGAGAGAGAGGGCCCAGTAGCACCGGTGAAGAGGCGGGGCAGGAGCTAAGACTCGACCCTGCAACACAAATAGGTGAGTACAAATAGGTGAGTACCACAACACACACACACACACGTACTCATATACAACAGGCCTAGTGTCTAATCGACATGTGCCTAGGACAAAATGGTAACTAACACACACAACACACACACACACACACACACACACACACACACACACACACACACACAGCCAGGAGCTGAGACTCGACCCCTATAACCACAAATAACTGAGAACCTAAGGAAATGAGCCTCACAATTTCACGGATCGACACCACCGCAAACAAAACTGGAGAGCTATCAAAGCCTTGCAGCCCAGTCCCTGGACCCATGATGGGCCTTTGTAATCTTTTGACTACCACCCACACCATGGGTAGGGGGGTACATATTCCAGCTGTGTGTTTTGTACTCTTAAAAAGATTATTCTACTGTATTTAATGGTGAGTGTTGACCACGATTAAAGTTATTACAATAATATCACAAGGACCCCAATGGAAGCAAGTCGCTTTGACTTTTTTCTTGGTTTATCCTAAGTAATTTACACACATGTACGATAATTGTACTTATGTTCTCCTGTATCTAAATTATTTACTACCATTTAATCTTCCCTCTCGCTCCTGCTCGCCACTGTGCTTTCCCGGCGATGGTTCGCCAGGCGTGGCGGAACGACTGCCTGCGCGGGGAGGTGCGGTGCCGGCGAGGTGAGGTAACTACCTGCATCAGCGTCCCAGACTACTGCACCTCACATGACCCTCCCTGTGAAGGTGACCTTGACCTGCGTCTCTGTCAGGTAATTCGCATCTCCCACACTGTCATTCCAAACTATATTAATCATTTGTTATTATTATTATTATTATTATTATTATTATTATTATTATTATTATTATTATTGGGAAAGTTACAATGAGAGGCACTCAGATTCGATAGAAGGGGGGGAGGGGAAGCGAGCAGGTTTATTTCCTTGGATCAAGAGTCCCTTACCGGCATCTTTCTTGAAGTAAAGCTGTATAACGATGTTTCATATATTCTATAACACAGTATCCTACAAAACTACGTATTTAACCTTGTTGGAGACACTATCATAATACACTTGTAAATGTACCATGTGATGAAGATAAGGTACGATAACTATAATGAAGATGAGGTACGATAACTATAATGAAGATGAGGTACGATAACTATAATGAAGATGAGGTACGATAACTATATTACAGATGTCATAATATTTATCTTACAAATGATATGCGATAACTATACTACACATGTATGATAACTATGTAACAGATTGTGTACGATAACTCTTTTACAGGTAATGCACAATAACTTACTTATGTATGATAACTGTTTTATGGATGATGTACGATAACTATATGACAGATGTACGATAACTACATTACATTTGATAGTTACGATAACACTGAATATGTTACAGATGCTGCACGACAAGAAGTTACAGCCTCTAAACAGCGTCGTACTCAAAGACTTCGGTCGTAAACGTAAGTCGGGAACAGTTTGCCAATTACTACCACTACCACCACCATAACCACAATCACCACTACCACCACCACCACCACCACCACCATAACCACCACCAAAAGCAACATAGTGATTACGTAATAAAAAAATCGTATTATTGTAATATTTCCACCAATATCATAGCCCTAATAAATTTCGATAACGTGACATTAGGAAAAGATACAGAATATAATACAGTGCATATATGTCGTGCTTTGTAACAAATAATATATTCATGGAATCTCTGGTCATGGATCGGGCAGCTGGGGCGTTGACCCCCGAAACACCCTCTAGGTATACTCCAGGTATACTCCAGGTACTCCCTCCAAGGGAGGGTGACCCAGGGGAGGAAATACATTCACTCAATCATCGTCTTTCCAGAAGTGTGCTGACATCATCAAAATTACCCATCCGACTGCAACATTCCTCACCCTTCCTTCAGAGTGCAGGTACTGTACTTCCCACCTCCAGCACCACAACATTCCTACCCTTCCTTCAGAGTGCAGGTACTGTACTTCCCACCTCCAGCACCACAACATTCCTACCCTTCCTTCAGAGTGCAGGTACTGTACTTCCCACCTCCAGCACCACAACATTCCTACCCTTCCTTCAGAGTGCAGGTACTGTACTTCCCACCTCCAGCACCACAACATTCCTACCCTTCCTTCAGAGTGCAGGTACTGTACTTCCCACCTCCAGCACCACAACATTCCTACCCTTCCTTCAGAGTGCAGGTACTGTACTTCCCACCTCCAGCACCACAACATTCCTACCCTTCCTTCAGAGTGCAGGTACTGTACTTCCCACCTCCAGCACCACAACATTCCTACCCTTCCTTCAGAGTGCAGGTACTGTACTTCCCACCTCCAGCACCACAACATTCCTACCCTTCCTTCAGAGTGCAGGTACTGTACTTCCCACCTCCAGCACCACAACATTCCTACCCTTCCTTCAGAGTGCAGGTACTGTACTTCCCACCTCCAGCACCACAACATTCCTACCCTTCCTTCAGAGTGCAGGTACTGTACTTCTCCACCTCCAGCACCACAACATTCCTACCCTTCCTTCAGAGTGCAGGTACTGTACTTCCCACCTCCAGCACCACAACATTCCTACCCTTCCTTCAGAGTGCAGGTACTGTACTTCTCACCTCCAGGACTCGAACTCCGGCTAACCTGTTCTCTTGAATCCTCCGTATTTTGCTGCATTACAACAATTTTTGCATACCTCATGAATGCTTATTGCCCGTCACTCCAAAACTCATTTTAATAACAGACAGCATTTAACTGTCAAATGGGTGACTGTTGAACGAGCCTTAAACAGTGATTGGCTGACTGACATATTTCCAGTGAGCACGGTGGCTCCCCGATGATGGTTTCGGTCGGACCGAAACGTCGTCATAAGTTTCATATTCCTATGTGCGGATTATTTGTGTATTGTTCTAGTCACGGCATTGTGACTTTTTATTCGCAATACATAAGCTAACGTTAATCTTCTGCTCCACTCGCCACAGAGACCAACCTGGAGATGAGTGAGGAACAGGAGGAGCAGTTCCAGCAAGTGATGAACCTGACGATACAACACCCAGAGTGTCCGTTACTCTACACATTGGTCGGCACCCACTGTCTCTCTCTCTTCTTCCCAGGAACTGTGAGTCTCAGTCTTAGTCTCGTAGGGAATCACACAACACCTGGTGAAAGGGAGGTAATCCGGCTCGATTCGAAGAAGAGGGTAGTTCCAATTCTTCTTCGGATCAAGAGCTCTGCATATCATAGGTTATTTGAGCTGACTGTTCGAGTTCTTTGGTACACCTGTGCAAGTGGTTTAAAAGATAAGTGAGCAAACATTAGGGTATATTTATCGAAACACTTTTCGATCCCGGGACCTTTACCATTTCTGCGTGTCAGAAGTCATCACAGTCCCAGGACCCAAACGTTTTCTGATATCTCCTAGTGTTCGATCACGGTTCTTTTTTAAAAAATCACTTGTATGTATGCATTACAACGGTTTATATCAAACCTGTGCAATTCTTGGATCTCTCTCTTTCGTTAGGTGGGCTGGGGTGAGGCTCGAGCCTTCTGCAGGCTCCTGGATGGCGACCTCGTCACCTTAGAGGATCTCACTAGCTACTACGATCTCCTCCGTCACCTGCGACGAGCAGGCGAGTAACAGTCTTCTAACACTCACTAGTTATTTGCATAATTTTACAACTTTTTGACTACACCTGGATCATTAAGGCCACAGTTCACTTAGATACTAACTCAAGAGTATTTTCACTCCTAAAGTATTGATTAAGTCTCTCAAGGAACCTCACTTAGAGGAGCCTCTCGGTGTATATAACCTTGTTGCAAAGGCTATTTTTTTACAATGTTGGCAGGGATGACAACAGACTTCTGGGTTGGAGGCCGTTATCTTAGCACCAGCGATGGCTGGACATGGCTAGGCAACACTCCCATGGATCTAGGGTCCCCTTACTGGGCCCTCAGGTGGGTCAAACTCTCCTATAATTACTATATTCATGTGCAAGAAAGTTAAGACACAAGTGTAACATCTGGTTATCTTTATTGTAGACGTTTCGCCATCCACTGGCTTTGATAAAGCCACTGGATGGCGAAACGTCTACAATAAACATAACCAGATGTTACACATGTACTATATTCATGCAGAAATGGGAGGTCATCAGATTTAATCCAGGAAAAGGAAGGATAATTTCACTTGTAGATCTTTACCAGCATCACGGGACCCCTCGTGAAGGTCCCTTGATCTACCATAGACCGACAGAGTAATTCAAGTGTCCTGAGCTCTTTTACAATATATTTGCTGGGGTGGTTCGTCCACCATGACGGGATACTAGTGTAGGAATAGAGATCTTGCTAAAGATGTAGATATAACCCATTATATCCCTCGTTAAATATGTAAGTCTAAACAAATAACACAGATGAACTAACATGGCGACAAGAGGGCCTCAGTGTGCTGGGGACGCCCTCCGTATGAGGCTGAAAAACGCAATAATTTTCCATTTTACTTCCATGTCGGTCTTCGTTTTGCTACAGAGCATCCTATAATGTCCCTTTTTATTATACAGCATCCGGTAACGTCTTTTTTTTTTTTAACTATAGACTCTCGGGTTGTGATGTTTCTGCAAACTGTTCTCTTCCCCAGGCACGGGACTACCTGCCAGAGTCGCAACGTTAGCTTCCTGGAGACGGGCGAGCCTCGTCCAGCTAACCCTGGCACCTGTTACCACTACCAGCAGGCACCCCACCAGGACCCCAGCGGCTGGTGCGCCGCCCTCACTTACCAACACTACTACTACATCACAGACGAGGACTGCCTCTTGAAGAAGTCTCCCCTCTGTATCTACACTAACGCCCAAGACCTCTCAGAGCACTTACTGCCATAACCTATTCCTCTTTAAGTAACCAGTGCAGTACACCAGCATCTTATGCATCATAATGTTGCATTATCTAAAAGCTTTTTGTCATAAAATTTGCTAATTTAGGGCAGTGGTAGTATAGTATTCTAAATTAAAGCTAATGAAATATGTATCTGTTGTGATTCATTTAGCATATATTACTGTCCGCTAATACTCCAACTATAAGATGTACCCAGTCAAATAAGAGAGAGAGAGAGAGAGAGAGAGATACTTAGATGAGAGAGATAGACGAGAGAGAGTCAGAGATGAGGAGCATGTAGACGAGAGAGAGAGAGACATTCTTCACAAGATAAATATACACAGCAAGTCTCACATTGGTATCTTACTGATAAAGACATCTTGTACAAATATTACAACATTATATATATATATATATATATATATATATATATATATATATATATATATATATATATATATATATATATATATAATATATATATATATATAATACAGTCTGCATAATAAATAGCGGCCACACGATAGAGCATAATTAGAATAATACCTGAAAACAAATCTATTAACTCATATGCCAAATGTGTGTTAATTATAACTCTCAAATAAATACTATTCTAAATCAAACACCGGACTAATCAAATAACAAAATGTTCAACTCATACAGGACGCCAACTCGACACAATGTGTGTGTGTGTGTGTGTGTGATGATTGAGTCCGTGTGCGTGTGTGGTGTGTGTTGTGAAGTGGTGTGTACTGTGTGTACCATCAGTCACAAAACAGTGTGTAGTAATCATAAATCGAGTCTATACATACCTAGACTAGGCCTAGTCTACTTTGCTAAAGAAATACCAAGTTCTCTCGCTACTAAGTATGCAGAAGCAAACGTTTTCCTGTATATCTCTCAACATATATACACCGAAGGGTATATACAACTCAAAGTCCATACACCAAGAGGTGTAAATGTCTGCATTTCAGGATGAAAATATTTTTCGATGCTGTTTAAGATGCTTCAACGGCAAAGTCATTAGCACCACTGGGTTGTCTTGTCGACACTTGACATCAGTGTGCAGGTGAAATGCGACCGACACACGTGCAGTCAAATTAAATGAACTGAAAAAACTGTATATCCTTCGAACCGGATTCGAACCAGTGACCTATGGATGTCTGTTTCAAGTGCCAACTACAGTCCACCGCTCTACCAACTGAGCTATCGAAGGTTAGCGTTAGGAGTAATGAAAGCTGTAAAAGTTGAAATGTAGACTTCATCTTCACTGTTTCCGTGCTGCCAGACCCTTAATACTCGTGAAGAGCTTTTTATCCTCGGAGATATTGGAGTTCCCTTTACCTCTTTCCATCAAAACTAATTACCTCCAATTCCCCAGGCTCTATGACCCTTACGAATTTAGTGTTCCCTCATAAGTATTACATGCTGGGCCAAATATGCAACATTATTGTAGTTTACATACTGCTTACCTGTTGATGGGTCTGACGATCATCGTTCCCACAGTCCAGTCTCAGACCAGACCCCCTGCTTGACAGACCGAGCAGTTAGGCCGTTGATGCTCCTTGCACGTATTATGTCGCAAGCAATCAGCACAGCTGCACAAGATCTGCCGGAAAGAACTCTTGAAGACATGGTTCAAGATGTGTTCATAGTCATGAAACATGCCTTAATGTATCACTTGGATAATTATACCATCACTTTCACCTACAGCTACCACCTTCGATAGCTCAGTTGGTAGAGCGGTGGACTGTAGTTGGTACTTAAAAGCAGACATCCATAGGTCACTGGTTCAAATCCGGTTCGAAGGATATGTTTTGAGAGATGCCTGAGACCGGTAGCGGAGTACCGTCACTGGGACCTGTCTGTGTACCTTCCTCTATACGGCCCTCGTATTATAATACTCAGAGTGCCGGTAAACACAGAATTTTGAAAATCATATAATTAACATAACGGGTTAATTCGACCTTTACTTGGTAGTATATAATTAATTTTTTATTGAAACTATGATTATACTCAGAATATTGATATAAACAATGTAATTTTATGGGCTTTTATTAAAAACTCCGAGAACATCGAATTCATCATACTGTAGAGTAGGTTAGTTAATGTTCGACTGAATGAGGTACTGTAAACAGCTGTCCAAAAAACCATTCATGATAACATTGAGAACAGTGATAAAACTTCGTGAATTATAAATAATTGTTGAAAAAATATTATTATCCAGAATAATCTAGTCATGAAGTTACAACAAAATGGTTTAAACTTATGAAAGTATATTCTAATGAGTGGAAAACTTGTCCTTATTTTGTAAAGAACACACTCCAAACACAAAAAAAAAATCTTAAACCTTAAATATTAAAGTTAAAACTTGTTCTTAACATAAAAAAAATGGATACTAATAACTTATATAATTTACTTCTATAAATAACAAAAAAGGCACAATACCGTGACTGGAACAATACACAAATAACCCGCACATAGAAGAGAGGAGCTTACGACGACGTTTCAGTCCGACTTGGACCATTTACAAAGTCACACTGACAAATTCACACTGTGACTTTGTAAATGGTCCAAGTCGGACCGAAACGTCGTCGTAAGCTCCTCTCTTCTATGTGCGGTTTTTGTGTAAATTTACTTCTAACTTGCAAAATTATACCCATAACTTATACACATCTTAATTCCTGCCAAAGTGTGAATGACCGACACTTGCTAAGCAGTGAATATACAGCGAGGCAGGTTTCTCTCACCGTATATACACCGAGGTCTGTGTATTTGTATCAGCGAATATACAGCGATATGTTTCCCTCAAGATATATACATCGCTCTTAGTGTATAAACCCCTTCAAGGGTGGCCCTAATAATTATAAGTTAGAACGACGTTCAGTCACACTGATTTTTTATTCCCTAGAGGATGAATCCACTACTGAGATGTCTACTAATGTTAATTATTGTTGCTGCCTTGAGTGTAAGAACTTCAGGTACTCTACCCTATAAGGGGTGCCTTGATGCCTCTCAAGTGCTCTTGATCCAAAAAAATGAAGCTACCCTACCCTTCACTGAGTCGAACCTGATAGCTTTGCGTTTTCCCCAGTTGCAGGATGACCCCCTACGGGTCTACCGCTTCAACACGAATATAATAATTCCTGGAGAGGCACTTATCCTCAGCTGAGGTAAAAAACTCATCCTTCGAACCGGAGTCGAACCAGTGACCTATGGATGTCTGTTTTAAGTACCAACTACAGTCCACCGCTCTACCAACTGAGCTATCGAAGGTGTTATGTGTAGTGAAAGTTGCAACAGACTTCACCTTCATTGCTCTCTTGCTGCCAGACCCTTCAATGGAGGTGTCTAAGTGCTGGTGAAGAGATCTTGATTATGGAATTGGAATTTTTTCCCTTCATTTTTTTTATCAAACCTCCAATGCCTCAATCGCTGTATGACCCTTACGGGTTGAGTGTTTCCTATTAATACTACTTACAAGGATAAATTTATGATATTTTCGCAGTTTATGTATTGCTGACCTGTTGATGGGTCTGGCAGCCATAGTTCCCGAAGCCCATCGGTGATTTCCTGCAGGCATTCCAAAATAAACTTTCAGAGATCGGTTCATCAAGAAATACCTGGAGGAACTTGTCAAAATGGGGTTCAAGATGTGTTCATAGTCATGTAATGACTGAAAGTGCCACCAGATCAATCATCATATCATCACTTTCACAACACGTAACACCTTCGATAGCTCAGTTGGTAGAGCGGTGGACTGTAGTTGGTACTTGAAGCAGACATCCATAGGTCACTGGTTCGACTCCGGTTCGAAGGATATGTTTTATGGCAGGAGTGAGACCAGAAGAAGAGGACCGTCGGTGAAACTCGTACATCAGGGTCTCAGTACTGCCTCCTCTACAGGGTCTTTGTACTGCCTCCTCTGCAGGGTCTTTGTACTGCCTCCTCTGCATGGTCTTTGTACTGCCTCCTCTGCAGGGTCTTTGTACTGCCTTCTCTGCAGGGCCTTTGTACTGCTTTCTCGGCAGGGTCTCCTCACACACATGCTAGGCAAATGCATCCCGAGACTGGAGTGCAGGTGATACGGTCAGATAAGCTGAAACTGGGTAGGTGAATAGAATAATTCGTGTAGGCTTCACTACTGGTCCATCTTTTAGATAGTGGGAGGAGGCAGGACAATTCATCTTTTGGAATAACAATTCATAATAACATCTCACAGCTTTATATGATATTAATTAAAAATCCCGTTTTATAATACAGGGGACTAAAGCTGGAACCCTGCGCCAACCCACAACCCTCTCCACCTTATTTGACTACGTCTGTCCGCCCACTGCCAAGCTATGGTTGCAGGCACTGTGCCCACACGTGCAGGAAAAGACCCAAAGAAGAGGCCATTCACACTAGTCAAATCAACGGAACTCCACTCTTGGTCTCAAGCAGCGCATTAAGCATACTTCGAACCAGTGACTTATGGATGTCTGTTTAAAGGGCTAACTACAGTTCACTGCTCTACCAACTGAGCTATCGAAGGTGTTACGAGTAGCGAAAGTTGTAACAGTTAAAAGACTTCGCCTTCATTGCTCTATTGCTGCCAGATCCTTCAATGGAGGTGTCTAAGTGCTGGTGAAGAGATCTTGATCCATAGAATTGGAAATTTATTCCTTTTATTTTTTATCAAACTTGATTATCTCCAGTTTCCCAATCGCTGTATGACCCTTACGGGTTGAGTGTTTTCTATTAATAGTACGATATTTTCTCAGTTTATATATTGCTGACCTGTTGATGGGTCTGGCAGCCATAGTTCCCGAAGCCCATCGGTGATTTCCTGCAGGCATTCCAAAATAAACTTTCAGAGATCGGTTCATCAAGAAATACCTGGAGGAACTTGTCAAAATGGGGTTCAAGATGTGTTCATAGTCATGTAATGACTGAAAGTGCCACCAGATCAATCTTCATATCATCACTTTCACGACACGTAACACCTTCGATAGCTCAGTTGGTAGAGCGGTGGACTGTAGTTGGTACTTGAAGCAGACATCCATAGGTCACTGGTTCGACTCCGGTTCGAAGGATATGTTTTATGGCAGGAGTGAGACCAGAAGAAGAGGACCGTCGGTGAAACTCGTACATCAGGGTCTCAGTACTGCCTC